GCTCCGCAACGGGAGAGGCCACAACAGTGAGAGGCCCACGTACCACACACACACAAAAAAAGTAATGTTTCAAAATTTTAAGATCTGTTTCTTTGTGCAAATCTGGAAACTGTTGCTTACGGCCAATATGACAAAAAATAAAATTCTTAACAGAATTGGTGTTCATTTCATGCCCTGTGCCACCTTGCCTACTATTTGTCTTTGGCCTAACAAAGTTTCTAATATGGAATAAGAATTACGGAAATGGTATAGGGAATATAACTCCAGAATTATGCCGTTTAGGGTACTCCATTCACAAGTGGTTGCTGACCATCCACGCTGTCTGGCTTTTCCTTCTTCTGGTTACGATCTTTACCCGTACGCAGCCGGTTACCTTCACCGGAGGTATTCTGTAATGTTTTAGTGTGGACACTCCTTTCATTATTGCAGTCAACTCTGATCTAAAACAAGTTACAGTTGTTATATACACAGACCATATCCTACTGTAATCTGTAATTGGCCTGATGAAAAATTTAAGCCCGAAGGGTAAATTCCACATCTTAAAAGGGGGATATGGGGGTGAGAATAGAAGAAGTGTAAGAAATTATGGTCAGGTAGGATCTTTATTTGGTTTCTGATTTAAAAACACTCTTCTTTAACTGGAACACACTGGTCATCTCACTGTGTCCAAAGTTAGATGAAAACTCACAATCCTACCATGTCTTCTTCTAAGCTTTAGTTGACATCTTTATGTCTATCATGAGTATAATTAAGTTTCCTTACACTGAGGGCTCCCACTGTCTTACAATAAAAAAAAATACTAGCTTTGGTTTCTAGTAGCTTCAGTAAGGCTACTTACTTGCCTTCAGTAAGGCAAGTCAGATGATCATACAACTTGAACTCTAAAGAATAAGAATGGTACAGGGAAATTTGAAGACACTAATGTGTGGAAGAACTGGAATCTCAGGAAGAGTGTAGAGATGAATACAATTTAAAAAATAATATTCTGAGATTTACACAATATTTTAAGTGCCAATACTGAACACTTAAACACTGCTAAATAGACTTCTAGATGCTGTACAAAAGGAAGATAATATTGACAAATGGGCCTAAAACAATTACAAATATTGATCTGCTTCAAGTACAAGTGTGACATATAATCCCAAAATGGTTTGCTGTAATTTCAAAGTGTGTTTAAGTGTTAGTCCTGGGTGACTGTTTTAACTGTTGGGTTGTGAAGAGCGGAATTATAAAACTGGTACATAAATGCCTTACATCTCTGTTAGGCACATGTGTGTGCATTATTTCATCGATCTCTATCTACGTCTAAGGTCTTTTCTATGCTGGTCCTTAAGAACCAGCCAACGGTTAACACCTACTTAAAACCGCTATGAATTCTAAGAAATACTCCATCATGGAGTTTCTGCCCTTAAAAATCATCTCTCACTAATCTTGGGTATTGGTCCCAAACCAAACCATAGGCATGAAGGAACCCTAACTACTTGGATTAAGTCTTCAGAATTAAAGAAGCAGCAGAAGAGAACACGGGTTCTGGGAATCAGATACCAGTATTCAAATATCACTCTACCGTATGCCAGCTATGTGATTCAATCTTCCTAAACATCAGTTTACTCACCTATAAAACAGAATAATAAAACTTTTTACACTTCAGGGGGCTGCTGAAAGATTAAGTAAGATAAAACACACACAGAGCACTCAGCAAAGGTGTCTGTCTGGACACGCTCAGGGGTAATTTTCAAATTACTTAACAATGGGTTCGGCACAGGTGATTACCACTTGAGATGGGCTTCTCAGAATAGAGGCTGGCTGTAAATAAGCAGCTGACTGATTCAGCATGTACCAGCTGAGTGTCATCAGCCCTGTGTATCATGATTATTACCCTTGAGCCAGACACCTTTTTTTCCCTTACTTTCCACTCAAAGAGGACACTCTATCCAGGCAACTCAGGGGAGGAGGGACCCACAGGGCCGACGCAAGTCTCTCTTGGTTCATTCCTGGATGTTTCTTTTCTTGGGCAGTTGGTGGGGGGGTGGGGGGGCGGTTGGACCACCATTGTGGTATTGAAGTCACACTGTGGCTGCAAAGTCTTCAGAAATACTGAGACTGCATATTCTCTCGAGAAATCTTCTTTGTATACTTGTTGCAAAGGACTAAGACTGCCCACAAATGTAGTGTTGAAAGGAAAATATTTCAATGTACCAAATTCACAACCTTTGAACATGCTTAAAAATCAAGTAAAATAAACTCATACATCTCAAAGTACTGTAACTCAAACAATTTAGATGGAAAGAGGCACACAGGTTTACCTGGAGGGATCCATCTGCGGCTCTTCCTTTAGCCTCTCTTGGATTACGTGGACGATTATCTGTTCGGGAGTGATCATCGTTTCCTATAGGGACGTTTTTAAAAGGTTCGATGGTCACTGATTCTGACATGCTTATTGGAAGTTCTTTGTTCCCACATCCTCAATTTATTTAGATCCACCCCAGAATCTAACATAGGATCAACAACCTAGTGATTCCAGTTACACACTGGCTAATAATCTAGCATGCTACCAAGGAACAGAAACTATTTCTAAGGCATCACAATTCTGCATCAACTGTTACAGGTCAACCTGAGCTAATGATCAGATTGTGATGTTTAGAATACCCAAAGAGGTGAAACTAGTTATCAGTGTTTATTCATATATTTATTCTATGTGAACCAGAGGGAAAGGAAGGCTGTCTAATATTGCCAATTGCATGAGCCTTTCCCATGGTGACCAGTACAAAACCAGAGAAATGGGGGTCTTGGTAATACATCACTGAATCAGCAAGGTTCTTCACAGAACTTCAGACAGCTGTTACAACTGACCTTCATTTCTTGACAAATGAAAACCTCCGTACCTTTGAAGCCACCTCCGCGTCCTCTTCCTCCCTGTCCTCTTCCTCCACCTCCACGCCGTCGCCCGTCTCCTCTGCGCAGGAAGTTCTCCCTCTCTTCCTCTGTTGGAGCTAATGACCAATCACTGAGTTCATCTCTGTGGTCAGATTCTGTTTCAGAAGCATTTGATGCTTCAGAATTAGTTCCTATCGAGAGTTAAAAGTTATATACCGTTGTCCGACTTAAAAAAAAAAGTTAGGTTAACAGAAGCTTCCAGAGACGTTTCAGGGGTAATCCATTACTCTTCCCAATTTATAAGCCCACCAAAGAGTATTATCACCTTCCATTTTGTAAAACAAATTATCTTAAATTCAAAATGAAGGTTTCAACAATATTTGAGGTAATTTTTTTTTTAAACATTTTTGGTTCTCATTAAACCAAAAAGATTTTATTAGCCATCTAAGTTCAAACCTGAGTATGCCACATCATTAAACAGCTGTGCTCCTTTAAACATCTGTGCTCTCTGGAGGAAAAGTTGTCTACAACAGTTAAATGCAATACCTTGATCAACAAAACCTCTATAAAGAGGGTTCCTTTTAACAAGGTTTGGCCCAGGCACAGAGGGGAATGCATACATTTTGGTCACCTCAGAGAGGGTGGCAAAGGTGGCCACCATGGCTACTATCTCAGGGAAGGGTCTCTTGTGTGATAAGGGGTTGGACCTAGCTGAATGGGGATATGCTTGCCTGATGCTTGGTCCACAACCTTCCCTCCCACTCCCACTGGAATAATTGATCATTATAAAGGATTTATTGTAATGAACTTGTTATGCCTGAGGGGCTGGGTTAATGACATAAGGGATGGGAGTGGGGAAAAGAGCTCCACGGTGACGGGGGACTTCAACAGCATAAAGAACAGACTGCTGGGAGAGGGATTAGGGGTTAGGTTCAAGGTTGGCCTTAGGAGTAGGTGTCTCTCTCCCCGACTCCAGAATATCAGCTCTACTACCTCTCTCTCTTCCTCTGTTGGAGCTAATGACCAATTATAGCTTCACCATTATAGCTTCACTCCTGTGGATCTTGAAGGCTTTTCCATCTTAAAGAGTTCCTTTTTGAAATGCAAATATTTGTGAGATGGATTATACCTTATACCATCATAAGCAAGTTACATAGTAGATACACAGTTGAGCAAGAAAGACAGTAGAGTAGGCACTGGCAGTGGGACAGCGTTCAATGAAAGGTACTGGGAGAGAAGAAAGAAGCACTGAAAGAAGAGCTGAGAAGGCAAAGAGAAACTTCGCCTACTTCTTGACTGTGCCTAGGGCTGACTTTGGCCATGCCACTCAAAATCACCTTACGAGCCACAGGATGCAGACCCCTGATTTACACAGTCCATCCAGCAAGTATGACCAGCACATGCCTGACAAGAAATGAGCCACAGTACACAAATGAAAAAAGTTTTGGCTATACAGTAATAAAATCAGGAAAGGCCTTAGGAAAGTCATCAACATACAAGGGCTTAAGCAGATTTATCCCCAGTCAGAACGTGGACAGACTCACACCTGCCCTGTGAACTCTGTGTTATTATCAGGTTTTTACTCTATGTCTCTTGCAACACAATTTGACGCACTGTGAATTGGAAACCATGTAGTGAGAAACTGTTATAATGGGGTTCTAGTGAGTATTAGAGATTAGCAGCTATTAAGTCTAGGAACAGATAAAGTTACTGAGTAAAATGCTTAGTTTGTACCTGAAGTATATCCAGGACCGCGTCTGCCGTGCCCCCTATTTCTGTAAGGTCTACTACCTCGACCCATTCCTTGACCATCATCAGTCACATAGCCTTTTTCCTTATCTGTACGATTTGGTGGTGGTCTAGAACTAGCTCCAATCTGTCGCAATTGCTCATCAATTTGTAATCTCTCCAAACGCAACTGGTCTACTTCCTATTTAAAATATACAAGATAACAGTAAAAATAGTTTGACATTTTACTTAAAAATACCTTTCTCCTTTTCATCAGATAAAAAGTATACTGGAAATATTTCAATTTCAGTTCTAAATTTATAGTAAACACTGTTACACAGAATTATCAGGAAATTGAATGGTCTCCTTAAAAATAAAATTACTATAGATAACATATTATTGATGTCCAGAATTAGAGATATAACAAAAATAATGAGCATTAAAATTATACTGATAGAATTTAAAGTTATTTAATTTGGCACTATTATCCGATAGATCTGCTAAGGCACAAATATGCTAGTTTTTGGACCTCTTGATAATAGGATATTGAATAAAACAACTCTAAAAGGTATGAATACAGATAAATGACATTTAAGGTTTAACCAGCTAACCTTAAAAATCACACATTGTAAATAATCTTAATTGAAGTAGATTTGCCACTTAATATCTTAATTAATAAAACATTGAGTCTGGGCCATCTTCTGCTTTCACAGAACATATACTATGGCAGGTCTTTGGACGTGACTATACAATTAAGAAACAATTATCTTCGATGAACTGAAAATGTTTATATTCCTTATATAGGGGAACTATTTAATAGTTGACAAAAACAAGTTGGGAATCTTAAATCATGCCTTGAAAACCTCTTAAAGACTACAACTCTGCTAGAACAAGTATGACGAACAGTATAGTCAGTTGATCAAAATATACACCTGGGGTCCATTAACAGGCCCTCACACACAATGCTTCCGATATGTTGGGTTCTGTCAAATCCAGATGAAGTCTCAATTCTAACCCTTCTTCCAATCTACCCATAAGCATCTATTTACTAGCTATAGGGAACTGGATCCACAACTAGAGTAGCACTGGGTGTCTCAGTCAAGCAGACGCCGTCATAGGGACCGTCCACATGAACAGTCACTGGGGAAGCCTCTGTAAAGCTAGGTTCCTAAAATCTTGGTTATGGCAGCCTCAGGAAAAGGGCAGGTAAGAATCTAGATGAGCTTCATCTGTGCTCTGAACCAGAATTTGTTTTACAGAGGACTTGAACAAAGAAGAGACTGCAGCTGAGTGAGTGGCTTACTCCAAAAGTACAGTTAGAGCTCATGGAATGGGTGTATCTTGCAAAACAGAATGGTAGTCCAGGTTATCCCACTGGGGCAAAGCAGTCACCTTTTGGTGAGAGATGCCAAGCCCACTCGAGGGAAGATCTGGTGATGGAAAGAATGGCAACAACAGGACAGCTGCTGATAACCAAAAAAGATACTCAATTGTGAAGAATAAATCAAAAGATCTAAGGAAGAACGTTAGTCAAAAGAACAAGGGACTGATACAATGCAACCCTAACTCTCCAGGTCTTCAAAATTATTTAAGCTAAGAATATGAAGAAAAACACATACAACAGATTACACATAAAACACACTTTAAAACAAAAGTGAATAAGCAAATCAATGGGGTATCCCATCCATGCAAACCTTGCTGGATGAAACCTCCCCACTTGCAATTATTAACTGACCACCATAAGAATAAGAAGTGCCTAGCTATTGTATTTTTCTCCCTTGTTTACATATAACTATAAATTATTTAATTTTATTTCTTTAAGAAATCAGCAAAAAAATTCTTATTAAGACAGCATCATAAATAAAATAGAAACTTGGATTACTTTAAAAATACTATTTAGTACCAGTTACAATATATTTTTGATACATATGGATACAAAGAAGAAATTATAAAAGTGACATGGGTGAAATTCTATTTTATCGAATTACAGAACATTTGGCCAAAAGAAATTTTAAAAAGCACCTAGTCTAGGGAGGTGATTTGCCTATAGACACAGAGCTAGTTCACGGCAGAAGAGAGACCACAAGCAAATCACTGGATTGCCAATCCAGTGCTCTTTCTGCTACGCCTTGCAGCCTCCTGGTTCCTGCTTTCCAGTTTGTAAGCTAGAGGAGGCATAACCGTACAAATACTAACTAAAATGTGCATTTATAAAATGACACAAATTGTTTCTATTTTGTAATAACAGAGTATAGAGAAAATTACGAAGGGTAAACATTTAAACAGAGGACTTCATGAAACTCTGGGATTTCCTTGATAAATGACATAAAAGGGACAACAAAGGCAAGTGTTACAGACACGAAATTTGTCCTGGAAAAAACTCACAAGGGCTAGAAAGGATCAATGGGATGAAATGTATTTTTGACAGGATTGTCTAAAGTGAGTATAAGGGTTTAACAGAAGAATAATGGGAAATAGGGGAGTTTCTTGAGAACTGGGATACTGGTCCTTAAATTTATAATGATGGAAAACTGACTTGTGTTTTTAGAAGGAATATAATAAGCTAAACGAAATGAACATTTTTTTCTATTATCTTTTACAGGTCTTTGATTATCATGTACAGGCTAGTATGAAACTTAATCGCTTTAAGATTTACTATGGAGTTTTTATATTTTAGTGCAAAAGGTTTCAACATTAAAGTTCTTCCTGTCCTCACCTTTAAATAGTTCAGGTGATAATCCAGAAGAACAGTGGCATTAGCGATGCTGTCTTTTGTTCCCACAAAAACAAATGGTACCATACCCTGAAAAAGAAATGGCAACAATAATCCTATAAAATTAATGATGAATTAATCTGAAAAATGCAAATAATGACTAAATCCCTAGCACAGGGTCTGACAAACATGAAAGTTTGTTGAAAATATAAACCAATACCTAAAAACAAAAGTAGTTGGTATATTTTACCCATCTACTGTGTATAAGGACAGATCAGTATAGCAACCCTTAAATGCATCAGGTTACTATGATATAAACACTAATAATAAATGTTGGTAAACTCATAAATTATGTAACTCAAAATTATATAAGCTTTAACATGAGAAGCATAAACAAAACGAATACTTTAAAATACTCTAATTCATTTACTACAGATTTTATCTAGATCAAATTCTTCAAAAAATAATTCAAAATTAGATACCAGGGTACAAAAGTAGAAACTAAATCAACTTTGCTAGCCGAGTCAACAGAGTAAAACAAAACACAAACAAGAAGAATAAGAAATTAAAATGCACTTAGTAATTATTTTGTGAGGGGAAAAAAAAACTAGGCACATCCATGAGCATAAAATTTAGCATTTCAATATACTTCCATAATGAGCTCTGAACATAGTAAAGGACTGAATCATCAGGAAAGTTTGATCTCTCTATGGTACTACTTTAATATAAGGATAGATTTTTAAAAAGGAGTAGACTAAAAATGTATACTTCTAGCCCATCAGTACAAATGAGAAAAAAACTATTTCTTGTCACAGTTATAGGGAAGCCTAGGCCAGTTGTGCAAACTAACAGCTGGCAATTATGACATTCAAAGTTAAGAATAATTCAATATTCGGCTACTGATGAAATTCACATGGTTACTGATATTCACAAGTGACTAAAGAAAAGCACACAGGAGCTTTGATGTAGATACATTAGAGTTCTCTAGGTGAAGTTTCTAGGTGTGAGAAGCCAAGAAGCTTACAAGTATCACCCTTTTAAAAAGAGCATTCAGGGCTTCCCTGGTGGCCCGGTGGTTGAGAGTCCGCCGGCCAATGCGGGGGACGCGAGTTCGTGCCCTGGTCTGGGAGGGTCCTGCGTGCCGCGGAGCGGTTGGGCCCATGAGCCGTGGCTGCTGGGCCTGTGCGTCCGGAGCCTGTGTTCCGCGACGGGAGAGGTCGCGGCAGTGAGAGGCCCGCGTACCGCATTAAAAAAAAAAAAAAAAAAAAA